GTTCAAATTAGATGTTTGTGATGTCAAAATACTAAGTCTGTAGTTTCATACGAATTAGGGATTCAAATTACTGATATTAACAAGCTAGAATATAAAATAAGAACCTCCTATATTTTCTATTTGTTGAGATATCGCTCGTGTACTGAATCGAACACAGTAGCCTGGCTCATCTCTTTCCATTTTTGGAAATGGTCCCATATATACAAATGACATGTGAATAACCAATTGAAAGCTCAGAATGTCCCCCTATTGGCTTTCTCAGCCATTTGCATATATAATGGCATCATCTCTTTCTTTCGAGACAAACCTTTGTACTGGTAAGTTGAGTCTTTAGCCTGTTTGAAAATTCAACTTTTTAGACCCAAATACAGCTTAGTTACTAAACTTGATAAATTATAGTGGATTTCTATGGTATCAATATAGTAATTTATGATTTTTTGGTTATTCAAATGTATATATAAAAACCCCCAAAAAATTATTTCATTTCACATCCTCCACATGCAAAATTTTGCAAGGCTTAGCAACCGAGTACAAAGGTTGTAACTAGAATAGATAAATTGTTTGCTTTACTTCTTTATTTACTGTTCTATGTTTTAAGAACTTGTTTGTAAATAGTAATAATCTATATGCATATATATATATATATATATATGTATAATAATTGGAATGAGACTGCATTTTACAAAATACTAGTCCACTAAAACACAGTCAAGACAGGTCACTTTGTAAAGATTAAAGGTCAGTTTTATGTTATTTGATACAGTAACATGAGTGCACATGTGCCACGTCACTGTAACTTGTGTATTGTTAGCCAGGCATGGCTGAAAGGTCAATATAATAAAAATGAATATATATAAATGTATAATGTTATGAGATTTAAGCTATTTAGTCTAAACATTTATGTTTTTGTGTTATAATCTGTGTTCATTCTAGAATGAAAGAGGCATAATTTATACTTATTTACTAATTTTTTATAGTGGTTGCAAGATTGGTCATATCTACCGAACCTGTACAGAGATTAATTGCTGAAAATAACAGATAAAATATAAAGTTTTTTCTTAAAAAACATTTGATAACTATCTGGACGTTATAAAGATTTCGCATGTGAAGTTTGAAAATCTTCTGATGCATAAAAATATTTTTAATTTGAAAATGAAAAAAGACACGAGAAAAACATTGCTTAAACCTTAAAACTTCATAAAAACTGATATTTTGTGTATGAAAGCCTTGTAATGTTTACCAACAATCTGTCAAATTTCATGAACATATGCTGACTAATTTAAAAGTTATAGTATGAAAACTATAACAAGCATAAAATGGTTACGAGGTTGGTGCCATGCATAATTTTTAAAACCTTCAATCTAAGAAAGACATTGATAGCTTAGATGAATTCCTAATGGCTAAAGTCAGATAGTTAGAAAGCCAGAAAAAGTGTAATAGTTAAGAAAAATTGTCTGCTTTTTGCATATTATTATTGTGTGTTCTTTGGTACATCATTTAATTAAATAAAAAATTATTTAGTGTAGTAGTAGTAGTAGTACCATTAGCATAAACAAATAGGGTTAAGTTTCAATGACAGTCAACAACAACAAAAAAAAGATCCAGATATTTCTTGCTTTTCGTATGTATTCTTTATTTATCATGATAAAAGTATCTAAAATGTAAAAACAGGATTAGGTGAAATAAATAATATTAATAATAATTTTTTCATGAGCTACACTCATGAATAGCTCATGCATAGTGTAATAACGTGAGCTGCAAATTTGTTGAGTGATTCACAACATTTAATGCCACAAATGGTAATTAGACAGGGTTCAAAGGGCAATAAAACAATAAAATTTAAGTATAAATAGATGTATACTATTTAGAATAAACAAATGTAGTTTCATATTACAATTTAAAGACATTCTAGAGATAAAAAGGGTGATTTAGATTTATTTTGTCAATTTTGGTGGTTGTGAGGTCAGTCAAATTGACAAACCTTGTATAAAAGTAGAGAAAATAACAGATAAAGTATAAATACATTTGAAATTAGAGTTTTGAGATGAAAAGTATTTTTAATCTTAATGCATAAATCACTTAGCACTGGGACTAGTATACAGAAATACTATTTACATTCATGGACAAATCTTTAGCATAAATACTTCATTAAAACTGATTTTTTTATGTATAAAAGGCTTGTAATGTTTACTGAAAGTCTGCCAAATTTTGTGAAGATACACAAAAGAGTATTAAAAGTTATAATATGGACACTTTAATGAGTAAAAAATTGGTTATGAGGTTAGTCAATTCAACCAACTTTATCATGAGAGAGATAACAATAAAAATTTTTTAAATTCCTAAGACTAATGGAATCTCTTGTTCCTGACTTGAAAGTACAGAGAGATTTTACTGGCTTTAGCTTAAATAATCATAAATTTCTACATATATAATTAGCTTTAAATTTACTCAAACACAAACTACAGTTCTCACTGCAGAATATAAGAAATTTAATAATGGCAAATGATAACCGAGATTTGGATCAGGTTTCATTTAACTCTCTTACTACTAGCTTGGTCCCAGGGACTGATTTTGTAACAATTTTATGCTAGTAAAGAGTTTCATAATATAACTTTAAATATAGTATGTCTATCTTCACAAATTTTGGCAGACTTTTAGTAAACATTACATTCCTTTGTATATTAAAAATAAATCAGTACTTTTACTAAAGATTTGTCCATGAATGTATTGAATCTTTTTTTTTGATTAGTAAGAGTGCAAAGTGAATTTTAAATTAAGATAAAAATATTTTTCTTTGTCTCGAATTCTCATTTTGTTTGTAGCCTCTACAACCTCCTAAATAAATATAAAACGTTTTTTTCAATGAAACTTTATATCTTATATGTTATTTTCTCTATCTTATCTCTGTATAGGTTTGGTTGATTTGACCAACCTTATAACCACCATAAAAAATTAGGAAATAGGTCTAAATTATGCTTTTTTCATTCTAGAATGGCTACAGATTATAATACAAAACCACAAATGTTTATTCTAAATAGCTTAAATTTTGTAACATTATAATTCTACAAATATATATATTATTTATATTTTGTTGATCTTTCAGCCTTCTCTAACATTCTAGAAGTTGCAAGTGGTATGTGCATTTTTATGTTACCATACCCAATAGCATAAAACTGGCCTTTACAAAGTACAACCGTCTTAGCTTTGTTCTAGTGAACCATTATTTTTTACAATACAATCACATTTCAGTTGTAATACATTACCTATGTCTATATGCTACTACTTTTACAAATAAATTTTAAATTTCAGTTATTTTTCTTAAAACACAGAACAGTAATTAAAAAAATATAGAAAACAAAAATCTCTTCTACTTATGAAATTTGTACTCATTTGCCATAATTTGCTAAGCCTTGTCAAATGTAGTAAATAAAGAAGTAAAGCAAACAATTATATATTATAGTTAAGATCTTTGTACTCGGTTGCTGTTTGATGTAAGTTGCTAAGCCTTTTAAAATCTCCAACAAGGAGGATATAAAACGAAATAATTTTTTTAGGTTTTATATATACAATTGGATAACTAAAAAACCATAAATTATTACATTAATACCACAGAATTCCACTATAATTTATCAAACTTAGTAACTAAGATGTATTTTAGTCTTAAAAAATATGAAATTTTGAGCAGACTAAATACACACCATACCTCATTGAAATATTGGTTCAAAAGAAAGAAATGGCATCAAATCCATTAAAATGGCTGAAAAAGCCACTAGGACATTCTGAGCTTTTGATTGGTTATTCACATGTCATATATTGAAGTAAATGTATATAACAAACCATTTCCAAAACTGGAAAGAGGTGAGTAGGGCCACTGTGTTTGATTCAGTACACGAGTGATATCTCAACAAAAAGATACGAGGTTCTTAGTTTATATTCTAGCTTGTCAATATCAGTAATCTGAGTTCCTAATTTGTACAAAACTATAGACTTGGTATTTTGACATCACAAATGACACACAAAAATGTATGCTTATCTGTGTTTTTTTTATGTTTACTTTGAAATTAAATAATGTATAATACTAAAATTTTAGTTATAATCTACAGTTTGATACTAAACTTATTGACATAAATTCATGAAATAGTGAATGCGAGTCCACAAACTCAATGACATGGCCTTTGACCCATGACCAGTCTGGAGAGGGTTAACAGGAAAGCAGAGCTTGAGAATGTATAATTAAAAGTTACAGGCCCTGTATAAAATAAAACTGAAACCTCAAATCTAAGTATTTTTATCTATCCTTATTTACCTGTTGCACAGTCCCATTATATTTTGATTCTGAGACACTATTTTTAAATATACAAAAGAAAATAAACATTTATATATATACATATATAATGCATGTAACACATTTTATGGACTTTACTCATAGTTTACCTTTCGGAATTTCTCTAACTGTTTGTAAGTGTCTGGATCAAGTTGCTGTGAAACATCTTTCATCCACATCAAAGCACCTCGATATGTGTTTCTTGATTTCTCCATCTTCTCCACTGTAAGAAGAGTGTCAGCAACAGCTCGGTAATTAAAGGTTTCCACTTCTTGATAAATTCTTACCAAAGGGACTCTCAGAGACAACCTATATTGTGACAATTAGTCAAATTACTATGAAAATCCATGAAATAAATTAATTTACACATTTTCCATTTGTCTCATTTTCATATACAAAAAAACTGTATATACAAGCATAGTATTTACAGTCAAATAATAAATTCACTTGGAAAAAAAGATTAATGAATAAGAAAACCAAAAACAAATCTTAAGGTTTATCAAAAATTAAATAATACTATAAGCAGCCATTTCTAAATACCTTAAAAAATAAAATAACAGATGGAATTCTTACTTGTATCCAAGTAAATGACTTAATTTTTAGAATGAAGTTATGGAAGATCAGTTCTTGAAATTTTGTATACCTGTCAAATGAGAACTGGAAATCAATTCAAGAGACAGATTAAGGAACTTGGACATCTTAGGCCTATTGCAATTTTGTCCTCCTAGGTAAGAACCATTAGACCAATAATTTATAAATAAGAATCGGAACTGTTTGTTAACGTGCAAAATTATGGTGTATCAACGGGGTAAGTTGACGGCAAAAATATATGCTTTTATTATCTTTCAATGCCCATATAATTTTTTGAAATAAATGAGTTTGTTCATGTTTGAAAACATAACTCTTTTCTACTTTGAAATTGGTCTAGAAATATTGTCATTGTGACATTTAGGTTAACTGTCAAACCACTTATGTTATACAAATATGTATATTGCAATTTTATAAGCTTAATCCAATGATTTAGTTGAGCGAAATGAGACTATTGGATTGAGTCAAATAATAATTTTCATTTAATGATTTTGTGAGACAATGGAAATGTTATTTTACTTCTCCTTCTGGTATTTTTTAGTTATTTACTGAACCACACCCCTTCACAAGTTGTTCTTTTAAGATGTTATGTCCAGGGATGCCAGAAGGAAGGGGGGCAGTTGAAACCTCTGCCTTTTGCCAGGAAGTCCTCTTTCACTCTCAGACAAATATTTGTACTTATTACAATGAACCACAGACCTGCAAATTTAAGTTTTGTAAAAATTGTTTTGGTTTTAATAACAATTTTCCATAATTCAGCCACACAGATTTCGAAAATAATATTAATTTTTTTTCTATCATGTAATGAGTTTTTGCAAATTGGGAAGAAAAAAAAAACTCTTACTTAGATCAAATTATTATTTTGTTTACCAAAACAAGCATTTTATTATTATGTTTGTTAACAAATATACAAACAAACTGAAGAAAAGAACATTGATGTTAAACGAATATGCACCCTCATTAATCCCAATTTTTTTTGTGAAATCTACATCTTTTAGTCTCAAAACTGTGTGTTGTGGTCTTTCTTTTATGTATTGCATGTGGAGCATCTCGCTTCAATGACCAGCAGTAATCAGCAATCACGCTGATGTTCCACTTTCCCAGATACCCTCATAACCATTTCCTTGATGTCAATAGGTGAGTGTAAGAAATGAATTTTCAAGCTCGTGTTATAACCCAACTCTTTGATTTCATCAAGCATGTTATTGACAATATTTTCATAATTTGGGTCCTTGTTGTTTCCTAAAAATTTGTCAATAACATCTTTAAAGGCAGTTTGTGCTTCTTTTTCAAATTTCCTCATTGTCCTTTCAAACTGTTTATCTGAAGTCAATTTCCTAATTTGAGGCCCAACAAAAATCCTTTCTTTAAGTTCTGTTTCTGAAAGATCTGGAAATTGCCCACATAGGTACTTGAAACAGACGTCATCTTTGTCTAAGGCCTTTACAAACTCATTCATCAAGCCCAGTTTTATGTGAAGTTCACAACCTACATTTTTGTCAAGTCATTTTCCAATGTATTTGGTTTTGACAGAAGTACAGTTTATAAAATTGTAAGAAAATACACTATAATCTGTGAAAAAAATGAATATTGGAAGATTTTGCAATATGAATTTATTTTCAGTTTTGTCATTAAACAGGCTTTGCATGTTTGAATACAACTGCCAACTTTATGCTTTTTCAGTTTACAAGCTTTTAACTGCTGTGCAAAAGAATATGTTGTACAAATTAGTAAAGTGAAAGAACACATTACACTAGCATTTGAATGTATTTAGTACAACTTGACACTTTTACCAAAATAAAACTTTGTATAGAATATTACAACTTAAACATTGCACAGAGAGCTGAGGATGAAAGTAACATATATGTGGATTTGTTTAGTCTCATAATGGTTATTTCTAAATTCAGCCTTAAATCAGCTGAAGTCAACTTTTTGTATTCTCTTGAAATTGTAATAATGTTCCAATTACTAATATGTCAAAATTCAATTGTCTCCAACATTTGGTGGATGTTCTAAAAGTTGATACAAGGTATTACTGATTAAATGGCTATTGGTTTATCAGCCATAAAAATCAAATTAACTGATCTATCGTTTATTTGAAAAAAAATTATGAAAGTTTTCCTTAAGTGAAAATGTATTTCTAATAGACACTCACTGCTTCACACAGAATAGCTTGATCCCTCACGCGAATGCCTACGAGATTTGCACGCCCCTAGCCTTGAGCTAACTCCCACCTAAAAAATCATGTATTTAATGTGAACTGAACTAGTGCATGATAATGTACCATGTGAAAATAGCTCTCCACCAAAAGAAGGGCAATACAACCTCTTTGGGCAGTAACTCCCCTTAAGCACTTGTACTCAAGAAGGCAAGAAGAATGTGCATGAGAATTGGAGATGACGGGTGATAAGGTGAGTGGAGGCAAGAATCTATCAGAAATACATTTTAAGGTAAGGAAAATGTTAACTTCTGAGACAATACCTCACCTCTTCTAACAGAATAGCTAGAATCCTACATTCAAATGGTGGAGGAGCCAGTGAAAACATTAAACCTGTATGAGCTCCTTTGAGAAAGCACCCAAAGGGAAAGCCCATGGAGTGTGATATTCAATGGCAACACACCCATAGGAGATCACATCATATCTCAACCACAGTATACTCTTCACCAAGAAGTAAACAGAGAGAAAGGCAAGCAATCCAGTGTTGTAGGGATGGGTGGAATCTGATCATGACAGAACACCCATATACAAATGGTTGAAATGTGTACACTAGTTTAGTGTAGTTTGAGTGCAATGAGACCATATGGTGTGTGTACTACCTCAATTCAACTGGATGGACTGTTGCTGCAGGCAGTGTCACCATTCCCTACTTCCCACTGCCTGCCAGAAAGGTCTTTTACCAGAGGGAGTGCAATGGGTGACCATGAAACCCTATTATTAAAAGCCAGCAAGCGCAAGTGCCTAGTGCTGGTTTTTAATTTGATAGTCCATAGAATGGTACAGTCTGGATTGGGCAAGTAATTCATTTTAATACTACGAGGATACTTCTAGTGATCTTACACAGCACTCCATCTTACTCAACAGTGGGCACTGCTAGAGCATACTAGTTGAGAGTTTTCCGTTACCCCTGACCTGTTGAAAATTTTGGAGGCAACACTAGCCACCTGGTGGGATCCTATAAACCAGAAAACAGTGCTGAAAAAGAAAATGACTTCCCCTTCTCAAAGATGGCATGTAGTTTTATTGAAGTACAGCAGTCATAGGGAGTCAAAATACTACAAGAGAAGAAACAGCCAGATGATGAAGAAATGGGAGATGAGCATGTACAAATTCATCTATATGCCAACCTGAAAAGCCTTGTTCAATGGTCAGTAAAAATGAGATGTAAAAGTAAGACAGTTGAAAAATATAATGCAATGAAATTGAAAGAATGATCACCTTCCTAAACAAACAAAGTCTCAGGAAGAAAGGCCCAGTTTGAACAGAGGAGGAAGTAAGTGCAGTAAAAGAGAGTGCAAGCATTAATGGCATATACATCCAAATGATGGTAACCACAAGCAAGAAGAAAACATCAATTCAGACAAATAAAGTATAATGAACATGAAGCCAATGGCTTAAATGGAGCTCGTGTAAAACTATGACAAGTTTCCAGTCAAGCATGGGATTATGACAAGGTGGGTCGTGATTAAGGAAGGACTGGAACAAAATGGACAGGAAATGAGAAGAAAAACCTGACAGCAATAGTGAAAAACAACAATCCTTGGTCAAACAACCATGTGAAAAAGGTTGAAATATGGGCCACAAGCAGATGGCCAGGAAGAAAGGAGGGATTGATAGATCAATGTCAAAAAACCTGCCACTTCTGTTGATAGAAGAACAGAGTTGAAGAATGACAGTAATTGGATAAGAAAAAGGCTACATGATTGGAGAGTCCTGCTTTGCAGGCAAAGAAATGGACAAATCCCACATGTGAGGCTGAGGGGACAACACTTCTGGGTGAAAGAAAAACATGGTTTGAGCAAGAGAATGTGGGAAATGGGCAGAGGATGAGGAGGCTCAGACACCAATTGACAATGCAGAGGAAATCAGGGTTGTGCCACCAACAGGACCTGACAAGGATGTCATATATCAAGGAAAGGACATGAGAGAGAAAAGAAATAGAGGGATAAGCATACAAAAAAAAAAGTAACACCAGTCCTGGCTGAGAGTATCAACTACCAGGGCAAAAGGATGAGGAACTGGTGACCTGAAGAGGGGAATTCTGGTATTAAGAGTGATAAAGGCATTGATGAGAGGCATGCCCAACTGAGCAAAATGAACAAAACACCTGAGGGTGAAGAGACCACTCGAGGGTTAGAATCCTGTCTGGATAACAAAGGTGATCCATTACCAAATTCAGAGCCCCTGGCACATGAAAAGCACGATGAAGTGCCTCAGACATAAGTGAAATGATAAAAGGTAATTGTAGGAGAGTGGTAAGAAAAAGATGAAAGCACAAATTGGGCATTAAAAAAGAGAAATAAAAGTTAAGAGGTCCACCCTCCAAACATGTTAATGAAATTCCAAAAACTGAGAAATGGAAATGAAGAATGATGGCAGGCCACCTCAAAAAAAGTCACGAAGACAGTGAGGATGAGGCATGTTAGTACATGTATTGAAAAACAAGTCTGCACAAATCCTAATCTCAGGTGAAGGAAGGAAGACAAAGAAGTCTTGAATATAG